TTATGTTTTTATGTTATTGCAGCATCAAAACGAAATTCTGAATTCTCTACAGAGGCTGGATTAAAATATTTCATTTTAGGTGCCTTTTCCTCTGGGATTAACAGTATAGGCCACCTACCCTACCCATCCCGACGTCAATACTCCCAGCGCACCCCCTGTCCCAACTATCCGACCTCAGTGTGACCAGCACTCACGACCATCACCCCGCCAGTGTCGAGGGCAACTTGGACCAGACTTCTATTTAACTTTTTTAACTCCTCTTCCACACCGGGTCCCTCCCTTTTTATTACACGAACCCATAACCTCTGAGGCTCTCTCCTTCACTCGTTGCCAGGAACTCTACCAGCCTGAGCACTTCAAAGAAATTCTCCCCCGGCTGAGCATGGTGTCACCGCAACAACCCCTTTTCTACCCAGATGAGCAGATCCAAAATGGAAACAGCTTCACCTCTATGGCCACCAGCATGAAGCACGCTAAGATGACCAGAGCCAAAATTGAAACAGCTTTGCCTCTGTAGCAAACAACATGAAGCACAATGAAACAATTACATTGCCTTAAAGTTTTCCTTGTGCAGTCCTTTCTTTGCTTTCTTTACTTTGGTTTTCTTTGGAGTAGTACCCCTTTTATTTCTTCTTGAAGCTCCTTCGCCCCTCTACTTTGGCTCTCTTTGGGGTACGGTAAACCCTTTTATTTCTTCTTGAAGCTCCCATTTTACTGTGCGAAGTGCGTCTAATGTACAAGGCTTGCCACGTTGATTGTGATTCAGTGGAAGCTGCCCTCATCCCGATGACATTGTGCCATAATGGACCACTTGGCATTGTTGGCAATGCACGCCGTGAAAGGAAGCGGAGTAATTAAAAGTGGGAGGTATGTTCCTGTTCATTTTCTCTTCAGACCTTCGGCTTGTATTTTGCTCAGTCTCTTAATAATTCTCCATTAAATGCATTTGGCAGTAGTACACAAGTTGAGGGAGGAAGGAAGGGGCAGGGTGTGGAGTTGTACAGGAAGCGAGGAGTCGGCGAGGGAGAAGGGGGAGCGGAGGGAAGTGGAGGGACAAGGAATAGCCTAAGGACGGAGGAAAGACAGACTTCACAGGGTTCTGAATATTCACCAGTTGAGCAGACTGCTATAGAATGGCACAAGAGGTCAGTCAGTGCTTGGGTTGCAGGGGAACTCAAGCTGAGGCGCCGCCGTAACGTTTGCCTAAGGTAACTGGCCTCCCCCACAGACCAGACAGGGCGTGTTCAGGTGTGGACTGTGGAAGTTGCAGCTCCCGTCTACAAATAGAACATGACATGTCAGGGTGCATATGATTGTGATTGTGTTGTAGATGTGCACCACAACAGCCCCTGTTGCACCCCGATGAGTAGATCCAAAATTGAAGCAGTGTTACCTCTAATGCAGACAATGAAGCACACTTGGGATGAACCAATCGACCAGTGAAACAGTTTTACCTCCACAGCAAGCAACATGGAGCAGAATAGATGTGTGTGTGTGGGGCTTGTGGGGGGGGGGGGGGG